AGAGAGAGAGAGAGAGAGAGAGAGAGAGAGAGAGAGAGAGAGAGAGAGAGAGAGAGAGAGAGAGAGAGAGAGAAAGAGAGAGACAGAGAGAGAGACCCTGCGTCTTCTAGTCGTTGTACGTTTGTACGTCTGTACGTCTGTGCATGAGACCCTGCGTCTTCTAGTCGTTGTATGTCTGTACGTCTGTACGTGTGTGCATGTGTGTTTGTGTGTCCGTTCGCGCGTCTTCCGGTTTGTGTTCCCGTCGTTCCGTTCCCGCGTCTTCCCGTCGTTCGCCTTCCTGTTTCAAGTTGTTTGCGTATCTTCCTCTTTCAAGTTGTCCGCGTCAAGTTGGCTGTATTCTGTGTATATGTGCGTGTGTACGTGTGTGCATGTATACTGTGTGTCCATTCGTGCGTATTTGTTGACCTTCCCGTTTCAAGTTGGTGAAAATGACAAAACGTGGGCCACAAGCACCACAGAACCAACGATTTTTTCCCCTTTTTTCCCCACCCCAGTCCGTCCATTTTACCAAAAACGCCAGACCAACGCCGCCCCTTCTTACTTTTCTTCTTCGGGAGCCACCAGGCACTCGCATGAGAATTGGGCCCATTTTACCGAAAATGCCAGACCAAGGACCGGTCCTTCGTTTTTCCAAAAGTCCCGGTTCTACCCGAGCTAGCTGTAGGTAGTCCGCAATTTTCCCAACAACCGGTCCCCCCAATTTTTTTGCCCCCTAAAAACCCACTTTGCGTCCTGGTCGCCCGTTGCCAAAAATGCCACACCATGACACAGACGTGAAGCACACTAGACCGCAGCCCTAGGGCTGCGAAATGAAATGCAAAGTTGATTTGAAAAAAAAAAAAAAAAACACTTCGCTTCCTTCGCACCTCTGTTTCTGCGACATGGTCCTCCCTCCACGATAGGTTGTTTCGATGGTTGATTTACGAAATATCCAATCTTAATCGTGTATTCTGCTAAGTTCGCATTGGAGCCTCTCGGGCCAGGTGGTATTCTTTTGGCCCTGTTGTGTCTTTTAGTTTTGTGTGGCTTTGTGGGCCGTGAAGGCAATGTTCTTTTTTTCCCAGGGTTGGGAAATGTCAGAGCAGCGGTCTGGATGTGGCCAAATCTGCTACTGGACTATAATTCCCAATTCCTGCACCATAAACTGGGTAATGGTCCAAAAGGTTACCATTTTCCAGGTTGATTGTGGAGGGTTTCCCGGCCTCCTCCATTTTTTTTTTATTTTTTATTTTTATTTTTAAACAGATCATCATTCCATTAAGAACCAATCGTAACTGGAGGCCGGGGACCTCACAATTCCACCCGGAGTTATCCCGGCAGCTTCAGCCGGTTTAGCTTAGGGTCCCAGCAAGCTGGGGCCTCTTTAACCGTCCCACTCATAAACTTTAACAAATCATCTGAATCACTTTTAACAAAGACTTCCAATATAATAATCCTGAATGCTTCCTAAAATCTATCACTTATTCTAACCTACCTAGGTTACTTCAGACGCCTAATTGCGGCGACCAGGCCTACACGACCTGGTGGAAACCCTGTTCCTCTGCCTCCTGGACACTCTCCTAGTGGACCACTGCGTCCCTAAAAACCGAGTGTCCTGGTTGTAGCCTCCTCCTTCTCGTTTTCTAATGAAATGCAAAGTTGATTTGAAAAAAAAAAAAAAACACTTCGCTTCCTTCGCACCGCTGTTTCTGCGACATGGTCCTCCCTCCCTCCGGGCTGCGCCTCCGCGCCGTGCGCGGTGCACAGTGGTCTGCGGCCTGGACGGGTAGCAAAAGCGGCCCACTTTGAACCGCAGGCGCAGTCGCAGGCTCTCGACGCTCGAAAGGCAGCTTTGTGAACTGGCTTCCCTACGGCTTGGTCCACCTCCCGTGTGGGAGCACCGAATGCTGACAACATATGGCCTATCTTCAGCCGCGAAGTTTTTTTTTTGTTTTTTTTTTTTCGCCGCGAAGTTTTTCCTCGCGAGGGTTCCGAGCCGTCGCGTCGCGTGTTCGTTAGGCCGGACGTTGGGCTGGGCGTAACTGCCTTCGCACCCCTGGCCTTGGGTGTAGCATGCCAAAAGATGTTAGAATGCTCTAATACGTAGTAGTGTCCGTTATCGGCCTGGTGTGCACTCCTGCTCTTCTGTAAGCGTTCTCCGGTTGACACATCAAATTCTTGCGTTCTTTCTCACGCGCTGTCCAAAGCACCAGCTAGACAGGAGGTAGCAACCTGATCGGTACCAAGCCATGGCAGCTGTGCGCAGTCAGTCGTGCAGCAGTATTGTGTTCTCTGTCTGTCTGTCTGTCTGTTTCTCTTTCTCTCTGTGGTGCGCTCGCTCGCTCGCTTCTCCTGCACAGTAGTGTCTTCTCTCTCTCTCTCTCTCTCTCTCTCTCTCTCTCTCTCTCTCTCTCTCTCTCTCCTCCCCCCCTCCCCCGCCATCTGCGAATGCCGCCATTGGGAGAGTCCCTATCTTTCCGGACTGTGAGTTCGACGGTCTCATGCTGGCCACAGGACTCATGTAATCGGATGCCTAGACGCAATTCGCAATCCGAGGTACGGGCGCAAGTGCACTGCTTTTTGGATCGTCCATCATCGTCACATCGTAATTATCCTTTTGCGTTCGTTTGCTTCTTCTTCTTCTCGACCACCTCCTTCGTTCACTGTTGTGCGGCAGTTCAACATTTGCACGTTTGCAGCGGGCGCAATGGAGGAACCGTCGACGAGCTCTAAGAAGGCAATAGAGGCGAAGGAGGAAGAGGAGCAACCTGCGGCGGAAGGGAGCACGGGAGACGAAGGGACAACGACGCTCTCAACCGGCGATTGCCGCTCCTTTTACAGAAACCTAACGCTGGCAAAGGGGATAGGGTCTTCTCCGATCTCTGACAAACCAGAAGACGAAGGAAGCTCGGCACACGCTGCAGCCTCGGCGGACGTAACTGGGCAGAAGGATGGTGTAGGGGATACGGGGAGGGTGCGCGGCGAGGAGGAGACTGCGTGGGAGTCCCACGTGCATGATTTCTGGTTTGATCGAGGGGATTTCGAACGGCGGAGCGGGATTGATCCGGATGATATAGACGACGCCTCCACGAGAGTTACCATAGCCGACAGTGAGTTTGTCGATGACGAACTTGGAGTTCAGTTAGATGACATGGACGAGTTGGAGATAGCTAGGTATGACACGTTTAGCGAAGGAGATCACGAGGAGGTGGGGGAAGAGGACGATCCAACGGAGGGTGAAGAGCACGGAGTAGGGGTAACTAGGGATAGGGAGAGGCCTCTGGCATTCGCTGTGTGCTGAGAGGGAGATAAAGCTTTATCCCTCCTGCGGGGAGGAATCAAAAGAGGACACTGTGTGGGGGGGGGTGAGGTGACGGGGTGAGAGAGAGAGAGAGAGAGAGAGAGAGAGAGAGAGAGAGAGAGAGAGAGAGAGAGAGAGAGAGAGAGAGAGAGGCTTTGAAATACGAAGATTTTGTGATTCTTGGCTCGATAGTGAATGATCGGGATTCCTTTATCCCACCGCCTCCCCACCTCTTCCCCCCGTCCAAGCGATACACCCCCCTTTCGGTTTTCTATGCCAAGCATGGTTTTGCAGCGCTTCCCGGCGTTCGTCAATGCCCCTCCACCTGTCCTCGTTACCCGTCCCTCGATCGACTTGTGGGAGTGGATGATGAACCACGATGAGGTTAGAACTTGCAGCGCTTCCCGGCGTTCGTCAATGCCCCTCCGCCTTTCCTCGTTGCCCGTCCACCGATCGACTTGTGGGAGAAACCCTTGAGTGGTGGGGCGTTCACTTCAACAGATGTACTCGATCTACCTCTGCTTGTGTCTGTTCATCCACACCTGCGGATAGTGTGGTGGCGGGATTGCGGTGATGATGAAGTCAGACGGCAAGTTGTTTTTCTGATCAGGATAATCCTCTCCCGGGGGATCATTGTTTGTTTGAATTGCAGGAAGAGTACCTGTTGTGGGAAACCCTTGCCCGTCGCGGGCCCTTCTGGAGGTATGGGGAGAGAGGACAGGAAGGACATGCAACTGGAGATCCAGAGAGAGCATGGAGGAGGAGGGGAGAGCGTAATGTTGACACGCAGGTAAAGTGTGAAAGAGTTCAGAAAGAAATGGAGATTCCGGACAGCGGAGGTAGCAACAGAGACATTGTGGTATACAGCAGAGGCGAAGTGTGGTACATAAAGTGTTCCCTTCCTTGTAAACTTTGTGCATGGGGGCGGTTTCGGTTTCCCGTTGCCTTCTGTTTTCCTCTCCTTGCGTTTTTTTTTTCGTTTTCTTGTTTCGGGTTCTTGTTAAACGGATGGGGCGGAGTTTTCTCCTCCTCCCAATATCTACCGTCCGAGTCGGAAGACGATGGGAAAAGTAGGGCGCCGAGAGGGGAGAAGGCGGGAACCACACTGGCGAAGGGAGCGGTAGAGGTTTGGTATTGGTGCTCTGTGTCGAGGAGGTGGCGGGTGTCTTCTATCAGTTATGATTCAGTAAGGCTATGCATGGCGATTACTACTGTGAAAATGCATGAACCATTCATGTTAAGAAAAGACGTTTCTTTTCAAGAAGAGATCAAAGAGCTTTAGCAGTTGTTGCGGGCAAGCGGATGCGGAGGAAGGACGGTAGCGATCGCTGTATGAGCGCGGTTGTTGACGCTAGTTTTAGCTGGTTGTTAAGCATATAAGGAACGTTTGCCGCGACCCTTAGCAGAGCACGAGATCAAAACATGTTGGGAGAATGCTATTTTTAGCTGGTGTGCTGATAATGTCGACCAGCCCCTCAAGAAAGAGGACAGTTTAAACATCTTCTGTAAATTCTTCACTCATTTTTTGTGGTCTTCCAGTCTGATCCGTTGGTCTCCTTTTTCTTCGTTCCACGGTCGCGCTCCACCACTCGCCACATGCAGAAAAAGACAAAGATTATGACGCTGTATCTTTCCATGTTGTAGTGGAAGACTCATTCTCATTGTTTGCACATTTGGTAAGTGGTGGGGCGGGGCCCTTAATCTGCGGACGGAGTAGATGGGTGGGCTCTCGGACCACGTCACCCTTTCTCGGCAGCTTTTTCCTCCCCCGCCTTGCGGCATAACATTTGTGTACCTCCCTCCATTCCGCCATGTTTTGCTGCTCCCGTCTCTCCCTGCGCTTACCCTCTTCTATCTGTCTCTCCCTCCTCTCTATTCTTTTTCGCTCTTGTCTGCTCTCTCCTCTCTGCCCTCTCGTCTTTTCCTGTCCTCTTCTCCTCTCGCTGCCCTCTTTCCCACTGTATCGGCTCCCTACCCTACCGTTCCACCCCTTCTCCCAGGCTTCTGCTCTACCTCGTTGGCTTTCCTGTGCTTTTTCCCAGGCTTCTGCCTGCCCCCCTCGTTTTCTAACCTTTCTAGCCCCCCCCTTGTGTTTGGAAATAAAGCGGACCTCCGTTCTCTCTGTTTGGAAATAAAGCGAACCTCCCTCCTTGCCTCTGTCAACGTGTCACGCATCCTGCAATACAAGTGCACCCCATCCCCCTCGGCCCCCCTTCTGGTGTGTGCCTCCCCTCCCGCCCATCGATACCACCAGAAGAAAGTGTCACGCATCCAACGCACGTATGTCAAGATACTCAGCAACAATCCCTCTATGGGACTGTGTGCTTCCCATCTCGTCCTGTCTCCCATTTCTTTTTCTTTTTCATTATTTCGACCATTTCTCGGTTTATACGTGTCATCCTTGCGCGGATGTCGTGCGAATGACCTGTCTCTCATCTGTTGTCCTGGCTCTGATTGAATTTCTTTCTTTGTTGGCAACACATCTGGGGAATGGGAGAACGGGTTCTCGCATTTCGCTCCTTTTACAAACCCGAAGGAATCGCTCGCCTAAGCTGGCCGAAACAGGAATGGCTTTGAGAAAAACAAAAAAAAAGAGGAAGTCCGAGAACGAAAGGCGAAAACAATTTCTGGAATGATCCCGGTGAACCTCTCGCTGGAAGCTGTCATCACTATACTCAGCTTCTGCCCTTCCTTCGTACATTATCCTTATCCCTTTTGTCCCTCCCCCTTTTCCGCCTTGCATCTGTCCCGCAGGTGTGCAGTCGCTCTTCTCCGGTAGATGTCCAGTCGCTGTCCTTCCCTACAGGCGCAGTCGCGATTATGCAAGTACAGCTCGCAGTTTTGTCGTTCACCAAGATTGCATTTTTTGGTTTTTGGCGACGGCCTTCGAGATATATCGTTATTAAGATAACCGGACCCAGCTAATCCAGAATTATGGGTCTGTATTTCAACAGTTATGGGTGTACCAACTGAGGTGACATCAATCACTTAGGGGGCGCAGTTTGGGGTACGGAATGTGCGGCTGCGTATCTCCTCTTCTAGAACTACCCCTCACGTTTCGCGTTCTCCTTGCATACTTCCGATTATTCCAGGATTGCGTCCTTGGGTCGGTTCACAGGTGGCATGGAGGGATGCATTCTACTGAAGGAGGTAAGCCATACATTCAGTGCGCTCAATTTCGTCGAGCAGGTGGTTAAGTCACATTTATCACTCCCGATTTCTTCGAGCAAATAAAGTAAGGACACAGTCGCCAATGCTTCGCTCTGTCTTGTGTCTGTCTGTCTGTCTGCCTCTCTCTCTCTCTCTGTAACTCTGCTGCCATTTATATCTGCTTTCGCTGATACTGGTGGTGCACTGTATATGTTTTCGACAACGGCGCCATGTCTGTCCTCGTTTTGGCCACACCCTGTCATCAGGGGCCAATCAAGGCAATTCCTCGTTGAGCTGCCTCGTTCGGAGACCTTTTTCTCCCGTTGTCGACCCCACGGCGGTGTGCGGACTATGGAGACTTTCGTAGTTAAGGCACGGTTGCTTTGTCAGCGGCATATGTGCTCCCCCTTTTGAAAGGGATACCGCCATTCTCCCTGTCAGCTCCTGGACATGATTACTGTTTCTCTCTCTCTCTCTCACACACACAGCGGCCTCATTTGTTGTTGAAAGGCATGATTACCACACCCTGCAGGGGTTAGAGATCTGCTCCGACGACATGCTCGCAACCGTATGGAACAACATAGTCGCTTTCAATATATACTAGCGAGCGAGACAACATGCTCGCAACCGTATGGAACAACATAGTCGCTTTCAATATATACTAGCGAGCGAGGAATACTGCACATCGAGTCCGAGTCCGATGTGCACAATGTGGTGATGATTTCTTCAGTGCTGCAGGCTTGCGAGTGCACCAGACACGAGGTGCAAGCTACTTTCTGCAGCGGTTGCATGGCTAGCAGCCATCCTGAGCACACGTGCAGCTGATCAGCTTCCTATTCCCACATCTGGTCCTCCCAGTTCTCACCCACCTGACTCACCCCTCTCTCATCCACCTAGCCCCGCTTGCTCCCCTGCCCCACATGACAATGACCCGTCTCCTGATTACCTGATGGAGCCCCCGGATGATGATCATCTCTCTCCGGAGCACATACCAAAGCCAATTGTTCACGACCACAATGAGTCTCTGCCACTTGTGCAACCCGCAGAAAACTGAGTCTCCCCCTGCCGTGAACGTATCCCCCGCGCAACCTGCGAAATCAGACAATGTCATAGCGCTACAGCGAGGGTGCTGTGCGTACTATGCCATTCATGCATGTCTGCTTGCTTACAATTGTAATCCTTAAGACTGTTTCTGATTTCGCAGACGTTGTTCGCTGGATAGAAGAAGAGCACCGTGCCGTCTGCCCAGAGGACGACAGCGTTGCACCTGGTGTGAACATAGAAGTCCTGGCTATGGAATTTATGGGTAGGCGACTGCAATTCCAGCCTGCTCCGTAAAACCACGTGCCGGGCAGGGATCCAAATATTCGGGCATATATTTTATATTGTCCAGGTCATTTCAGAGGTAAGAAATATCTTATATCGCCCAGGTCATTTCAGTGCTCTTACCTTTGCAGATAATTTATGGATCCTATGGGACAATGGCGGCAGGGTGCACACAGTATTAACTCTTTCTATCACCAAATGCTGGAGGATCATTCAGTCTGGCTCGTCCATCAGGAACAGTATGTCGATGAGCACTTCCCGATAGCAATCCGGCTGATTCTACCACAAACAGTGAAAGGACCTCTCCAGAGGATGGTGGCTGTGCCCTCCCATTGTGTCGTCGCGCAGGTGCAGTTCGGTTGGCATGTACACGGCATAGCCTCTGCTCCGAACACCATGAAGGGATGGTCACTGCTAGCCTCTTACACGAAAACTGTGATCCCCTGTCCTGTGCTCATTCCCCTCACACCCTGATTACTTGCCCAGCATGTCGTCGTGGCTATGATCCGCCATGCTTAAATAAGTGTGCACGTCAGCCTTCCATACTGATGACATGTCAGCAACACGCCATGTGTCATCAATGCTTCCAGGAAGCTGTCATAGAAAGTATGTGTCTTTACTGCGTGGACTATCCCCGGTGCCATCACCATCCACATCCTCTCCTAGCATGTCCCACATGCAGTGTTGGTCATACACCTACGACAACCGCTGACGGATCTCCCTCTTTCTTGCCAGACGAATGACAGACACAGCAGTCCGAGGAGGAAAAAGACTTCTATATGAACCACCGGCAGAGCGATGTGCTCGTAGTTTATCACCACCAGGGCAAGTTGTTGCGGACCAAATCCTGCAGCAGCTGAATGCCCATGCTTTGGACCGATCCTCGCTGTCGTTGTCTGCTCATAGAGAAGGAATAAATACTGAGGAAGCCCAAGAAAGATGCTCCATGCCGCTTTGTGATGACCCGCCGGACATTTTTGCTTCCATATGTACGACGACAGTCAGTACTGTACTCATGTATGGCACCCTGACATGTCATGCCCAATTTGTAGACGGGCTGGAACGGCAATTGCCTCTATCATTGCGGTCGACATGCCTCTGTGTTCCTAGCATGTAGGAGCCATGTAGCCTGTGACATCTGTCTGTGCTGCACCATTCGATGCAGTGCCTCTGTGTTCCTAGCATGTAGGAGCCATGTAGCCTGTGACATCTGTCTGTGCTGCACCATTCGATGCAGCAACTGTGACTGCGATAATTGGATGTGGTGCTTCCATAGTCCACACCCGAACCGGTCCTGTCCGGTCTGTAGGGGTGGCCGATTGCCATAGGCATTAAGTGCTCCTCAACCCAACATGTTCCCCTCCACTCCCTTTGTGCTACTAACAAATACATACGAATGAGCATCGTTAAGAGAACGGACGATATGAAGATCAGAAATGAAATGAACGGAAGTATGAAGATGAAGGACGGACACAAAGACTAAAAGACTAAGTATAAGCTGAAGATCTGAAGTGAAATGAACAGGAGTATGAAGGCCTGAAGAGAAATGCACAGGAGCATAACTTCCCTCTTACTCTGCCTCCTGAAATACCGTGCAAGTGGGCTGTGAATGCACACGGGGATGTGGGCAGCTGCCGCTCAACCACAATCAACATTGGCAGCCTTTTCCGTAAAAGGCACAGTAAAAAGGGAGCTGTGAGAACAAATGGAAGGGGTACCCCAAGACAACCAATAAACTGTCGAATTATAAAATTGCTTTAATATGTTGGACTGAGCTGAGAGAACAAATGGAAGGGGTGCCCCAAGGACAACCACAAAACTGTCTAATTATCAGGGCTGCACCGGCCACCGGCCGGTTGGACTGGACCGGACCGGACCCAACCGGGCCGGTTGGAACCCCGGTGGTCCAACCGGAATTCCGTTTGGGCCCAAAACCGGGTCAATTTTTTTATTTTTATGTTTTTGATGATG